CAAACCTTAGTGGACCTAAGATTGAAACCACAGGGTTTAAAAGAAAGAATACCTATTCTTCATGCTCTCTTCTGTGATAAAGGTCAGGCGATCTCACTGCAAATTTCTTTCAATGGTAATTTGTTGCAGCTTACTGGTAAGTCTCTGAACATTCTCCTTCACCTGCATCTTGGTGAGGAAGGTTTGGTGGGATGGAAGCTCCCTGGTGCTCTTTGTGGGTAAATGAAGACAAATTAACTTGCAGTATGACAAGGCAAAGAGGATGGGCAGACCACCCTGTCATAATCAAATGTCTGAGAAAGCTTGTTTACCAATGACTACTTGACACTCCAAATTATTTTGTACCTTGCTTCTGATGCCCCCTCTGTGGAAAACAACTCTATCCTCTGTGTGAAGGGAAGTGGTTATCTTAGCTATTTGGTTCTCTCTGTCCTCATAGCACATGCTCCAAGTAACCAAGTAGATAGCCTCTTTGGGCTTATTCACAGGCGCAGACTCAGAATTCAACTAGGCTGCAGAGTCCACAAGCCTGCTGATTTATGAGTCAGGAGAAAATTTCCATAGTTCACAATCACCCCAGTCATTTAGACTTTCCCCAAATAACTTGGCAGGTCACTAACCATATAACTATTGATGGAGAAGACATATAAGGGCAGAATGTGGTCGCCAGACTCAACAAGTCACCTCAATGACAACTCAGGACACACAGAGCAGCTGGGAAGTACCTAAAGTTATCTAGTGTGGTTGAAGTACAGTGATGTCATGCCTTGAAGTGGGCACACCTCATTAATCCCTCCCGCTTTAATGTTGGTCTCATGTTCACTCATCAATGCCTATCCTCCAGAAGGGATGAAAGTCAAGAGTTCCCAGCATAAAGCTTTGGCCTTACCAGTTCCTGACCTCTGAGCCAGAACAATTAATATCCTGGAGTTCTTGAATTTCAAGAGCCATGAAAAGCAGGGAAGTTCTGTTGGTTCCCATAGACTCCAGCTTTCTGGGCCCCATTACTGGAAGATTCAACTCAAGCACACTTCCTCCAGGAAGCTTCCCTTTTCCTGCACAGAACTCATTACACCAATATCTTGACCATTTCTTCCTTGGTGTTTTACATTGATGCTGAAGGTCAGCTCTCTTCTGTCACTCTCTGGTTTTCTACCCTCTCCATTCTCTTTCTGAATTAGACTCTTTAGTATGCCATCATGTTCATCAGTAAATGTTGAATACATTCAATAAAATTCCCAAGGGCAGGTGGTGTTGCCACAACATAGGTGACATCACAGAGGATGCCAGGGCTCTCCAGGATACCATAGAATGTCCAGGGAAGAGCTGCAGATGTCATGGAAACTGGCATTGCTTTCCTATTAATGTGCTTTCCTCACCATACACTAGAAGTCAAGTTGACCTTTGCAGGATCCTCTGCTGGGATACAAGGGAAGCCCTTCAGCATCTCCTTCATCCAAAGCCAAAGATCTCTCTTCCCGATTGATAGGACATCCATTAGTTCATTCGATGTGTGGAACTGAATGTTTATCTCCTCCTGAATTGTTATGTACACAAGGCAATAATATCATAGACATTCATATATGCTAAAGTTCATCATAAGTACCTGCATCTGAGATGACCGGCCACTCTAGTAGAAGCCGATGAACTGTGGACTGGTGGTTGTGGAGTCCTTATGGTCCTTGACTAGGTCCTCTGAATACAAAAGATGGTAGTTTGGCTGGAACTGTTCGGCCACCCAGGCAGGGGATCAGGATCTGTCCCTGGTCTCTGGGCAGGCTTCTGGAACCTGGTTCCTGTGGAGTGACACCTTAAACAGCCTTGGTTTAGTAGGGAGGGATTTGTACATGCCTAGGCTCACTGTGCTGGGCTCTACTGACCCCCATGGGAGTGCTCAATTTTGGGTATGTGGGGATGTGGCATGGCTTTGGAGAGAGAGCTGGGGGTGGGTAGAGGGAGGAAGGGGTCTGTGGATAGTATGTGGCGTGAGTAGAAAATTTCTTAATAATGAAAAATGAAATATAAAACAAAGCAATTCAAAAAAGATGAAAAATTTAAAAAAGTACCTACATCTCCTTATCTCCTTAGCCACAAGACTTTTTAGACTTAATGCTGACTGAGAAGAACACCTGTTAAAGAACTTCCTGGTAAAGAGTCTACAGGAAAC